TTTTCAAGAACACCAGGGAAATGATATCGTACAGGTTTATCCTTTTATACAGTATTTGGCACTCACACATAATATTTGCTGTATTTCACTTTTTCACACCCTTTTTGACCTTTTTTAAAATTCTTGGCAGTTTGTACGTCCCTGGAGTTTCTTTCAAACCCATTCCCACTTTGTTCTGCCGGATGGGGTCAGGCGGCTGATTTCCGAGGTGAACGCACAGCTCAGCAAAACATTAAAAACATGCAGCGTAACGTCGTAAAGATCCAGCTGTGGTCCAGGGAATGACAGTGATGCTGCTTCTCCCCACATCAGCAAAAGTTATGACAGACGACCTGTTTTAACACCGTCCCTAAACAGATACAAGTCCCAGAGTAAAATCTCTCACCACGATTCAATAGATGCTGTTTTTTTAACCTTTTTATTTTGTTTCTTATTTGTCCATTTTGTAAATCGTCTTTGAATGTCCAAAAAAGCCATATATATGTACAATGTATTATTAGCATTATTTGTTATTCTGAATGTTCTGATTATTATTCTTTGGTCTTAAATTAATGCTAGAAATTTTATACAGCAATTTTTTTATCATTTGGCTGGTTTCTTATTACTGTATGACGATTACTAAACTCACTTTTTTGTTTGCTTGAATGACATCTCAAACTTAGACTGATGGTGTCCCTTTGCTTAATGCCAAATACTGTGGGAGGTCATTAGAAAAATGACATTCAAATTAAAGCCAGGGCTCCAAACTTTTTGCTTTTTCCACAATGGTTTGTCTGGTCCTTGTCCTTTTGTGATGAATCCAAGCTGAATCTAAGATTTTTTTGCTTTTGATATTTCTATATTATACATATTTACAGATATGCATATCAACGAGTACCTACTGTATATTCAGATTATTCTATTCTCCCAATTTAATCTTAATTACTTACTTTAATTGTTACTTTAATGTTATTTTTCTTGCTGAATACTATGCAAGCTACTGTAACAACGCAATTTCCCTTGTGGATCAATTAAGTCTAAGTCTAATGGGGAAAACAAATAAGACAAGATAAGACAGAAGACCCTTTATATGTCCCACAGTGGGGAAATTCCTATGTTGCCACGCACAGACAGGACAGTAGTCCTGTGTAGTGCACACAGGGAGCAAACAAAATATACAATACAAGTAGCTGTGATGCTTCTTCTTAACTAGCTGTAAATACTTCACAAGATCAGTAAGTAAATATCAATATAAGGATCGATTTCGGAGAATGTAGCATGTAGAATGGAGGTTCTGATTGGACCGGACTCCACTCAAAACCGTCTCTGAGAGAGTTCATTTCTGGGATACAGTGGCCGAACATGAGCCAGCGAACAATCGGTCCTGTGTGAATGTGGACAATGGACTTAGAGGCTGCGTGAGCTTTAGGTGTGGGATCTAACCGTATTATCGCTAAGCCTCTTAAACGCGCCGCAAAGACGTCCTGCGTTTCACAAGCTCCAGAGTTTTGGGGATTAGAGTTTGGGGGTAATGAAATGAGCACATCCATCAGTTTGGGAAGAGGTCCAGAGGTGGACGAGATGAGAGGGGAGGGGGTCATAGGTGCGGAGGCTAAATGGAAGAGAATTGACCCGAGAATGTGGATTTATAGAGATCTGTATGAATTGTATCTGGTCTTGTGGGATAAAAATGAAGAGAGATATTGATCCATTGCAATTTTAAACGTCTGAAACTTCAAACTTCATTAAAGGTGACCACTCAGATATGCAACTTCCATTGAATAATACATATTTTTGGTATCCCTGTCCCTGTGGTATCATTTTTCTTAATACATATATTTAAAACAGCCCCTCCCCTTGGAATAAGCATCACCAGTAAGATTTGCTGGAGGAGAATAGTTAGACCAATGGTGAGACGCCTCAGCTGTCTATCATGGATTTGAATTATTTGCGTCCAATCAGGAGCCTGTGGGGGCGGGTCTAACTGACACTTGCTTATGACAAACGTCTCTCTATCTTAAACATTGAACAAGTAACTGACCTTCACTTTAATTGTCCATTCTACAGTTGTCACACGCTCGGACGAACAGCAGCACGTGGAGGAGATGTGGTAATCTCAAATGTGGTAGTTCAAAAAGCCAAACAGCGATTCACAGAGCTCTTTGTTACTGGCATAATACATGTTTTCTATTCAGACGTTAGCATACGTGATGTTTTGCAAGATTGTTTCGGTCAGGACGAACACAAAGTATAATATAGGAAAAAGAAAACGTAGGTAACCCAGCTTTAAATAGTCTCGCAAATTCCCCCCAAAGTTTGAACACGATGTTACCCCAGCAGTGAAAGCAATGGATAATTTAGACAACATCATTTCCCATTGAAATGAATAAGAGGAGCTGGAGCTTGTCTGCAAAAGTGTGTCGAAAGTTTATTTGTAGTAACGGTACTGTGTGTTATTGTTGTGTAGCTGCAGTAGTTGTGTTGTTGTGCTGTCAGTGCTCATAAATCAGATTAACAGATTAACATATGTGAGAGGTATGGAGGTGAACCTGGGGGCACACACGCCTCCGACGACAGCGAGGCTTCTGGGAGTTTCATGTTCCGTTTGAAAGAAATTGTTTACGTCTTGCGTTTTTCCTCCATTTTTAAATGTGACATGTTTTTCTGGTGTCAAAGAGAGATTTTTTTCTGTTTTGACATGTTTTACAGTTGAATATTGTTATGATGAATTGTTCCCTTTAGCTGCCATGTTGTTGCGAACACACACGCACAAACACGCACACACACACACACACACACACACCTATTGTACATACACACACACACTAGTATTCCAATACATCCAATATACCTTTTTTGTACTGAAACAAATAAGATATTATCTCTTTTAATTTAATAGAAATAATAATAATACACATTTTGTATTTTTTCCCAGTGAGACCAATTCTCTTTTGTATTTTATAGCTCAAGTATGAATTACAATCAAGATAAAAGCTCTACATTATTAATCATTTCGTTAGTACAATAATTTGATTGTTATGGAAAGGTGTAACAACAGGTCGTTTAGGCCACATGTGACTGCGATTCAACTCTTTAAGTACTATTCAAAAGACTGGTTCGGGAAGGAGCCTGGGTTGTGAGGTGTGAAATGAGCGATACAAAACAACTGATAGAGTTTTGAGTTTGGTATTGTATTAAAAGGAGAAAATAAATGATAATCACCAACACAAAGTTGAACAGCAAAATAATACCGACAGCCACAACCTCACTAATAACAATGGCTAACGAGCTAGCCAGGAGCTAAGGCATGCCACAGGTACAGCGGAGGAGAGCGTCAAGTGGGGAAACGCGCATCATAAAGGAAACCCGCAGATGTAGCAGAAGCTGACCCGCCACAATAAAACTAACTCAAACTAAATGAAATGCGGTTACAAAGGACACCAACCTTAACACCAGAAATATCCCTTTACTTCTGTTAATTAAAATAATTCAGATTGATCCGATTAACTCACCCCTTGTATTTTTGGCTGCATTTGAATGAATGGAAATATCCTCCTTTCTGATCCCTCTCTTCTCCATTGACCTTGTTTCATCACACATATAAGCAAATAATGGAAACACATATACAACTTTATACTTTATACAACTTTTATAATTGTAATACAAAACATGGAGCTTCCTTTTAGCTCCATCCACAAACTCCAGGAACTAGATTCTGGCACAAGAAAGGAAAGCAAAGCAGAAAAAACACGTTTGCTCTCAATTACTGGAAATATCTTCATTCAAATGTTGTGCTTTACAACTGTGTGCCTTCAACTGAGTATTTCTCCCAACAGAGACTTGTAAGAGTAAAGTTTTGTGAACAAATCAGACCAAATCTTTTGCATACTAGCTCTCTGAGTCACCAGAGGAAAAGTATTTCTCTGCAGCAGTGGCCAAAAAATATGTTAATTCAAAAGCTAATGATAGAACCAAGAGCGAGGACTGGATGGATTTTATCACATAGCTCGATATTTTTGCAGTTTGAAACAGGTGCCCCAGCTTAGAATACACTTATCCGAACATATACCCATAAAAGACGATTCTGTGAACAAGGAGGTATTCTTCATGAATTCTGATGCAGCCTCCTGTGTTTCCGTTCTCTCTTCTCTGGTCCTTTCCTCACGGCTCTTTCAGAGGAGGCAGCATGTAGGTATCTCCACCAACGCAAGCCCCGCCCCCTCTCTTGGGCTGCATGACTCCCCCCCTACCCTTCTGTCGGTCCGCTTTGATTTTTAATGACTTCTTTGGGTTCTCCCTATGTTTGGATGGTTTCACAAATGTACTTTGGTCGAGCCGAAACTGGATCCATTCTGAAAGATTCCACTAACAAAAAGATTTCATTGAACCACCAGTAATTATACGGTTATTTTTTTGAGTTGATGCAGACTATGTAATTCAATATATAATTCAATGAAAGAACAGCCAAAAGATGGGCAAAAAAACGTCCAAAACTTGAAACAACAAGACAACACACCATCATTCCTGACACAATTTTTAACTTTAGTTGAAAATATAAAGTAGTAATTTGATAATAATAGCAGTAGTAGTAGTAACAGCTATATTGCTAACAGTATGTAGGTCTAACATTGTGTTTGCTCGGACAAATGTGAAAGTCAAAAGTTAATTAAAATTATAGTAAAGATTATATGAATGGAATCGGCCGACTAGAGTGCGTGTGTGAAGCCATCCCCCTTTTGAAAAACTAAACTCAGTGTGTAGCAGTTTGTTTGCCCTCACTAACACTTCTCAGTATAATATGATATTTTTACAGTCTCTTCATCCCAGCGTTTGTTTGTGTTCCATCTGGTCTTTGTGGCTGCATGGTCTGTCTTGCACGCCCCATGTCTATGCTGGATCTATACTGAGAGTAATGCACTTTTGTCTCTTTCGGAATTAAATCAACGTACAGTATTCACTTATGTTGTGTGTGTGTGTGTGTGTGTGTGTGTGTGTGTGTGTGTGTGTGTGCGGTGTTTCAGGGGAAGTGCTCTTTCAGATGGCCGAAGTTCACCGACAGATTCAGATCCAGCTGGAAGAAATGGTGAGTATGAGGACAGTAGTCAGAAGAAAGAACTAAAAGCACGGCCCAAAATATTACTGATAAATAGTACAGACCATCACAAAGGAGGTAGACATGTGCGCTGTGCTAAATAGTTAAATATACATCGAACCCTTGAGTCCCACGTGAGTGCAGTAGAAGGTCCTGGGTTCAAATCTGGGTTGGAACAGAGCCTTTCTGAGTGGAGTTTGCATGTTCGCCCCGTGTCTGCGTAGGTTTCCTCCAGGTGCTCCGGTTTCCCCTACCACTAAAAACATGTACAGTAGGTCTGTACTGGCGACCTCACTCCCATCTCTGTGTGGAGTGGGAGAGAAATACCCACAACAAGTGTAAAGATCTTTGTGACTCTGGTCTGTGAAAGGCGCTATATAAATAAATATTACTACTTACTTACAGTATCCACCCTGATTATTTTGCGTGGAAACAACTGCTGTATGGTTGTGTACCTGACAGTGATGTGACAAAGGCTGTGTGACATAGAGGAATAAGTTAGAATGGATTTATGCGTCTCTAGGCCAGCTGAGAGACAAAGGCAAGTCAAGACCTCAATCCCTTCAGCACGTCCTGGGCCTTCAGCTGGTGGGAGGCATCCGAAACACATGCCCGAGCCACCTCAACTGGCTTCTATCCATGTGGAAAAGCAGCGAGTCTACTCCAAGCTCCTTCCCTTTTTCCAAGGGATCCTCCAGCTACTCTGCGGAGGAAACTCAAAGATGCATTACCTCACTTTATTTTTGTATTCATTAGAAAAATTCAATCCATATCCATGCAATGCATTGGGAAATACGTTCTTTTGAAGATTTTTTTTGCTGGACTGTCATTTTATTTTAGATCGAGTTTTTGTGCAACAAGGAAGATCATTTGTTTCGGGGCCAGATTGTGACCAATCACAGCGTACCACTGGCCCCCACTTTTTTGATAAAATCTCTCGTCTCTCGTTAGCACAGACAGCTGAGGTAAACAAGCGGAGGAGGACCTGAAACTCCCCATGTCTTCGTTACCGGTTACTGCTTACTCAGCAAAACAGCCATCCAAAAGAAAGTCTCGTTCCTCCGCGCTCCCTGGTTCTATCATTCTATGGTCACTCCATCCACGTTCAAATGTGCGATCCATATTGTGAAACACTAGCTCCGTAAACAACAGTGGGTGTGGGGTAGCCTGGTTGTACCACACCTTAGTACAAATTTAATTTCATACTAAGGTCTGGATTTGCTCCATTGTGCTCCGTGAACAGGTGGGAGGGGTTAACTCCTTTTGCAGATTGAAACGATTGGATCTGAGTTTACTGTGACGTATGTAGTGCGCCCGAGGGTGCTGTTAGCATTAGCATTTAGCCTAGCCATCTCCTTTGCCGCTAACGGAGCCCGTGGGGAGTAGCGCCACAATCTTGACCAGCGATTACATTTGCTAAACATTCCTCTTGCTCCTGCTTCAATTTCTTGATACAACCAGACCGGATTACTTTACTATCGCATTCTTCGCCACTGCCAAACCACAACCTGCCTGTTCGGCGCAAACTCTTGACGTCACCGGCACCGACCTACAACGCGCTCTCTGAGTAGCCGGTCGAAATACGACTGATTGTAATCGCAAACACAGGGACCAGACCCAGACGTTACATGCCGTGAAATGATGAATGAGCAGAGTGTACGAATGGCTATGGCCAGGCTAGGTGTGTGGTAGTGGGTACGGGGAGGGGAGGAGAAAGAGCGAGGCCAGTGCTTACTGTTGAAACCGCTGCTTCGAAATCACAAAGTCAGTTGGTGCAGCTTCAATTGAACAATATAGGAATAAAAAAAAAAAGACAATGCATTCTTTCTGGTACAAATACCTACATATTCATATACAGTACATACACTTACATACACTTACGTACATACATATACACCCGTAGGCATACATACATCTGTAATAATGATAATAATACAAAAAAAAACATAGCTTAAAAAACATGAAATTGCGGTACACACAAATAATGGGACATAACTGTCAAACGCTGCTGTTTATGCACTGATTTCAGTTTGTTCTAGTCTGATTCCCTTCATAAATGTAACCACAGGATTAAGATTGCTTCTTTTGGTGATTTTCGTACTTAAACAAAACTACGCTTAGCTGTGGTTTTAACCTTTTCCCGTTTGCCTTTCGCTGCTACATCACGAGCCCTTTTCCACCAGAGTGCATAAACTAAATTGATATGTTGAATCTAAAAGACACCATATTCTACCACGGATTACAGGCTTAGACAAACCACATATTCTTAGCTCGAGGCTTAATGTCAAATCTGAAGTACTTTGAGTGGATAAAGTCTTTCAGTGTGCCATTTGGTTGTCTTCACCAAAAGTTCAACTCTGGCCTCTTTTCCTGTATCTCGACCAAACATCCGCTGGTTTGAGAATTTCCGGAATCCTTTTTTAGACCCATCTGTCTGTTCCGTCTTTGTTAACCTTTGTAATGTTTGTTTCTTTTATCCGCAGCTCAAGTCGTTTCATAATGAGCTTCTGACAGAGCTGGAGAAGAAAGTGGAGCTCGACGCACGTTACCTCAATGTAAGAAGTGTGAAATGCTAACTGAGAAAACACATCGATCTACTATGAGACAATGTTGCCGTAGATGGATAAGTGGCCATTTTTGTTTACATGGAAACGCAAGGCTGCTGGATACATAGGTAATTTCACTGTGGATAGAATATTAACGACTTATTAAACGGGCAAGCGAGGTTAATAAATGTTTAATTAATGCAAATATTGATCTCCGACTTGGTTTTCCTAATCGTGTTTTTAGCTTCCTGGTCTGTAACGAAGTTGTCAATCTCTTCTTGACTGTTAGGAGTTGTGTTTTCGTTCGATATTTGCTGTTATAACTTCCTCGTCGCTCATTCTTTTTTTTTTACTGAGGAAAGATATCAAATTTGATACGCGCTGCGGACCAATTGTCATGGTAACGGTCCGAGATGGGAAAATATCAGACCACAAATCAACCAATCAGAGCGCGTGTACGATCCAAGTCATATAATAAATTAGTATTATGGTTGTTGTCGTCCTTAAGGATTATGACCTTTTACTTGAACATTTTACTGCCAATCCTCCCACACTTAAATCCCTAACCTTTTGTCTCCTTAAATATTAAATCGTGTTTATCTTAACAGAATGAGGCTTGTAAAAGTAAAACATTGTGAACAAGTCAGATCACAACCCTCTTTCTTTCTTTAGAAAATATTTGTTTTGTTTTCATACTAATGAGGAAGAGCCCTGTGAGTCTCTATTTGACCCTTTGGGCTTAGAGTTGATTAGCTGAGAAAGAATGGTTCTCCCTATTTTATGTTTCTGTCTGACAAAGTTGATTTAAAGATGTATCAGAGGCAAAAAGCATGTGAAAATTAGTGATAAAACCAAACTTTTTGAGAGCTTTAAACTAAATGTATTTCATTACATGGTTGAGTATTTGTGGTTTGAAAGTTGGATAGCGCAGCGTAAACGTTTATTTTGTTTTTTCCAGTCAGGATGACATCATGAAAACACCCTCAATACGCAGGGGAAAAGTTTCGTCATTTTTGAAACGTCCTCCTAACCTCTGTCCCGTCTCCCTCCAGGCTGCTCTGAAGAAGTACCAGACGGAGCACAAGAGCAAAGGCGAGAGTTTGGAGAAATGCCAAGCCGAACTGAAGAAGCTTCGCCGCAAGAGCCAGGGCAGCAAGCACCCGTCCAAGTACGGAGACAAGGAGATGCAGGTCAGTGTGGGGGTGAGAGGGGGGAGACCTGGTCCTGCTGGTGTGACAGAGGAGACAGGACCCGCTGTGTGACGGGAGAGACAGGGATCAGCTGGTGAGAGGAGAGAGACAGATCTGGGTCAGTGTGTGTGCATGTGTGTGTGTGTGTGTGTGTGTGTGTATAAGGGGAGGTGACATGGTTCTGATGGTGAGAGGAGAGAGACAGGGACCTAGTTGACAGATATATTTAATACATTATTTAAAAAAAAATATAGTATCAATACTAAATACATGGCTACATTACGCATCTCCATTCCGTTTATCATGAAATAAAGTGCATTTTTTCACTTAATATTTTTATTTTACTTATACCAATATGTGCTGTATTTGACTCCAGAGTTGTGAATTAGTTAATAACTTACACAATAACTCTTTTGTGTTTAGTCAAATTGCTTTACTAAAAGATTTCTAAAACAGTATATTTTTGACCAATATATTGATAATCGTCATATCGTGATATAATCGTTATCGTGAGCTTTGTATCGCGTATCTTTTTGTCTCGTTAGGTACCCTGAGGTTCCCATCCCTCGTGTGTGTGTGTGTGTGTGTGTGTGTGTGTGTAAAAGCCTTAGGGGAGGTGACATGGTTCTGCTGGTATGAGGAGAGAGACAAGGACCTTCTGGTGTGAGGAGGGAGACAGGGCCTGCTGGGTCAGTGTGTGTGTGTGCATGAGGGGGAGAGACAGAGTCCTGCTGAGTCAATCTGACAGTGAGAGGGGGGAGGCATGGCCCTAAAGGGTGAGAGTGGGGACACATGGTCCTGCTGGGGACAGATGCCCAGCCTTTTAGGCCAGACGCGCACATGATGAGTGTGGAGGAAGAGGCTATAATTAGATTGTGCAAGGTTACATGTAAACACCAACTTCATTATCATTTTGTGAACAGATCCAACCACATGCTGTGCTGTTTTTATTAGAAATATTTTATCTTTTAATACTCAGATAGGTGATTGGCTGAGCGAGGGTGGTCCATATTTCAAACAAAAGCTGATGTGCATGCTTGAGAAAACTGTAAAACTATCAAAATTGGGTACTCCAGCTTTAAGAGAAAAAGTTAGTGTCAGCCCAATGTGTTTCAAGGTTAAAAAAACAGAATGAAGAGACAAGATTTTAAAACAAGGCTTCTCTACAATACAGAGAAAAAACTATTCCAGACTTTTGAGGCAGAAACAGCAAAGGTCCCCTCGAGTTTTAAGAAGAAACGTGAATAAGACGTTTTGGTCATTTAGCTGGACTGAAAAGGGAATGGAACAGACCAAATTAATGACATCAGACAATAACGACGATACGCGCTTGTTCAGATGTTAATGATTCATGAAGTAGACGAAGCATTGAAAATCCAACTCCAGAACTCGTTATGGATAATTACAATATAGCAAGTACCCAGAGTGCAGTCAAATGACATGGTCTGATTTGGCATTTTCACACGTCTACATTTTCTCAACAAATCCAGGACACAGAAATGGTGTTATGATCTCCGAGTATGACTCACCACAGCAAGAAACAAACCAGTGGGAGGACGTAATGAGAGGAGTTTGTAGGAAAAAGTAATAATGTTGTATATCTGCTGCGCTGATGTCTCTGGCAGGTGAGCTGAATCTCTCGGCTCCGGTGTGGAGGCGGTGCGTGGGAGGGGCCGCCCGCAACTATAGCTGCACTTGCTTATATGACATAGATTGTACCAGAAAGAATGCATTGTCTGTTGTTTAAGCTACAATAATGTCAACCACTTTACAAAATTCAATTATAATTTTTTTTATATAGTCCTAAATCACTGAAGTAGTCATCACAGAGAATTTTACAGAACCGTCAAATTCAAAAAGAAGAAATGCAATGATAAAATGTTGACCCATGTCCATAAATGTGGAGGGACGGGTTATAGATCCAGGACTCAGGCTCAACTCGGGTAGAACGAGTACCGAAGCTACCATGGCATGTTATACCTCATTTGAAAGCTCAAGAAAACTGCCATGCAATCTACTGTATTCTAATATTATAACCAACATGTAGTTTGACTAATTTAAATGATAACGATGATAATGAAAACATATGTATTTGCTCACATCATGCATCAGTCTACAACTAAAAGCTTTCTTCAGCTTTGGTCCAGTTTTGGTTCAATCCACACCAACACATTTTGTCTACTAGATGTTTTTTATCTATACTTATGTGAATTAAAAAATAGTCCTTACCTAAATGATGTCATAAAACAAAACTAAATAGACTATGGAAATCTTTAACTATAATAATAAAAAAAATTATGTATTGTATAGTATAGTTTTGACCCAGACCAGCTAATACTTTTCAAATTCAGCCTGAGACCAAGAGTTGGAGTTGGACAACTTGCTGTAAACGCACTCAGAACAGTTCAACAAATACTGTAGATTCTAAAGATTTTTTTTTTTTTTCCATAGCAGAAAAACTACTTTCTATGGCCGTTTCACACATGTTTTTGAATAAAGAAATAGCAGAAACTACTTTTACTAGTGTCTTTCTGGCCGCTGTCCAAATTTTACTTTTACTTCTTTCAGTGACAAATCGTGAAAACTCCAAGAGCTTTTAACCAAGTCAAATTGCAGTTATTAGAATGATTCGTGCTTGAGTTGCTCCTGCATTCAAAACACCATTTTCACAGCTGCTGGTTGTGGATTGTTTCGTTGTTTTTGACATAAATGGGGAAGAAAAATCTGCAAAAAGGGTTTATTCCTATTGATCATCTGTCCAAGATTTCCACTGTAGCAGAGCAAAGCTGTCGTTGCTCGTCCTGACAGAAAGCATCTTGTAAGCATAAAATGTTTGGAAAAAATCAGAACTTATCTTTTGCGGACTTGTACGAGCCCTGTGAGCCGCTAACTGATGCTTTGGGCTGAGAAATAATTGGGTGAGCAAGAGTGGCCCTCTCTTTTTCACTTCTCTGTCTGAAAGATGTGGAACCAAAACTAGAGTAGAACCAGGCCGTTTTGAGAGCAAGAAACTAGTTTGATAATTTTCTTACATAAGATCGTTAATTTCTGCATTGACAATGACCCCACGTTTAATAAGCTAAAGGTAATCAATAAAAAGTAAGAAACAGGTACATTGCAAAAATATGAAGTGATAAATGCTTGAATTGAGTTTTTTGTTCTAAATTTGAGTACATTGTGACTGTCTTTAAACAAGATTGGCGAATACGACAAAGCCATTTAGACTTATTTCAAGAACTGCTGCTTTATTTTCTCATTCCAAGGGAGACATTTCTTGTTTCTTTTTTTAAAACTAGATAATTTGCTTGTCTCATTAGCAAATCTGTTTTTAAGGCAGTCAGAATGTGCCCAAATTAAGATAAATCATGCCAAATTTGAGCAATTTTTGATATATTTTTCATCACTTTTTGCAGAGTAAGAACACATATATAAAGCTGAGATGCAATATGTAAGAATTTCTTATAAAACCAAGTGAATGTGTTTGATGGATACCTCATATTGGTTCTGAAATTGTTATAAATCATTTCTATTTTTGCTTCTACTTTGCTCTACTAATGCTTGGCCTCTCAAACTCGGCCTGAGTCACATGAAACCGTAGCCCATAGACACCTGGAGTGGCCATATTGTATTGTGAAAGAGGCAGTGTGTGTGAAATGGCCGGTTTGGAGATACTTTATGCACAATCTGGAGGTCTTCAACAGCCTGCCGCATGTTGGACCGCCACCAAAGAGAAGTCCACAGGCTCTCGGTTGAATAATGAAGATTTACTGTTCGTTGGATGAAGACAAAGGCCGGTCGACCGTTGTAAACAGTGCAAATCTGGTGTTTTGTTTTGGTCTCTTTTTTCCCTAGTCACGACAAAAACATTGCGTCACGTGGCCTCGATTAAGCATTGTTAAAACTGACTACGATTATGATTTCTATGAACGTAAAACACATTCTCAAGTTAGGTCACATAGCCGAATACATAAATCCAAATAATAGACTAGATTAAATGCAACATTAAGTTTGGGGTACCTGGTTTTAAACAGAAATTATGATTTGATATTTGAATTGTATCAAACCAGTAGTATTTTCGGACTTTGATGCAAAAAATAAGTCGGGATATTGTCTTTAAACCAACAACCAAGGCCCAAAGTGTCAAAATATGACTCCCATTGATCTATCTCTCTTTTGTAATGTTGTAGAATTACTGCACATAACAAGAGTAAAATAATGTAAACAACCCAGAGCTGTAATTCCAAACAAAGTGTGAGTTTATTCATTAGTAAATGTGCACAATTACAATGAATAACAGAACCGATACCAATACCACCGGGCAGCCGTCCGAAATCGACTGCCACGATTGAGGAAATGACTGTACATTAAATAGACCAGAGTAAACAAACACATATCTACTCTAGATATTACATAAATGAAGTCAACATTGATATGTGTTGCTCAAGGCTTCTCTTTACGCCTCCTAACGCTGATACAACTCTGATATATGTAACAATCTGCTTTTGAACTGAACATATTGTTCTATGACCCAGGTCAAAGACATGATGCAGCACGTCTCCATCTATCACTGACCTGCTGCCAACAGAGCACTATGGCCTGTATCTGAATCCAGAGTTGACTATTAGTTAATAACTTACACTCATAACTATTTGGTGTTAATTCAGATTGCTTTACTAAAATATTTCTATAACAATCCTATCTCTTGATAAATATAAAACCTTGGTTTATCTTAATCAACTTAAAATAATAATAGAAATCACAATGATTATGAATTAACACAAAATCTGAACATTTGAGCAAACACACACAATAGTTAACTAACTTTATTACAATATTAAAATCCACACTTATATACTTGCTTAGATGAATCACCTGACTGGGTCACACACGTCTGCCCAGGGGAGACGAGGCGTTACTGGACCCAATGGGTCATCAGCCGACCCTCACCTCTCCCAGAATCGACGCTGTGCCCGCACAGTAGACACTCCAGCAGTGCTGGG